GTTAGTTACAAATTGTTATTGGTCATAGTCAATCTCTTTCTAAAAGAATAAAGGGGATATGACATAGAATTTTATGATATAGAAATGATAGAATAAAAGGGTAGATTATTGAATCTACTTTAATCCAAAAACCAATAGTTAATCTCAAAATATTATACATTGGTATAGATTTCAGTTTATTGATACAAATTTAAAGTTAATTTTGTTATACTATATGTATATTTCTACTCCTGTTTAAGGTATTATGTTTATGCAGCTTATTTAAAAATGTATAGTTAAAAATACAAATTAATAGTCATCTATAACAGACAAACTTATAGTCCTGTTAGTTAGGTTTTATAGATACGCAGAGATATATTTCAGATGGATAGGTAATCTTCAAACACTTCAAAGACCTACAGAATATGACATTTAAAGTGTTTTAAGAACTTAGACTTTTCTGGACAGTGAGACACATCTACTCCTGGCAGCACCAATTACTTCAAAGAGGATGATGGGCATCCAAAAAACTGCTTTCTTTGTGGCAAAAGTTAGCCACTGGGAAAAAAGTGACCTTGCCTCGACCGCTTGACTGTATGTTATATAAACTGGACATGCAGGACCCAAGGAAGGTAACCACTGAACTTTGTAAGGAGAGATGGTTCTTCAGGTTTCTGCTTCATAGAAGAAACTGCCAGACATTCTATAGGACACGGGGAGAAGTGACTGTTGAGCTTTGCCAGAATGGGCAGAACAGTCCTTAAAATTTCCTGCTTCACTGAAAGCTCTGCCAGAGACTCTAGGCCTATAGGCTGAAGACAGATGCCCCAATGTTGCAGAGGAACTTTGGATGACTGTCTAGGTAGCCAAATGTCTCTGTCATTTCTAGAATTATGGAAGTTGCTTGCAATGCACTTCCTGTTTACTTATGTAATATTATATTATATCCTTCTGGGGTCTCTGATGTAGTTGAAGACTAGTTAGTTATAATTTTCCTTGATTATGACAAAAATAAATTAGATATGAAACTTTAGACTCACAAATATAGGATAGATAGAATATTTTCTTTAATTTTGCCAAATACAAATAGATTAGATATTATAACTATAATTCTTGATAACTATTCTATTATAAGTAATTTTACTATGTTAAAGTTAAAACCTTCCTTTTTGATTAGACAGAATCAAAGGGGAAGTGCTGTGGGATCTTTCTGTATGCTGTGAATATGTGTTGTTCTGATTGGTTGTTAAACAAAGCTGCACTGGCTTATGGCAGGGCAAGATAATGGTAGGTGGTACATTCAAATTAAAGATGAGATGAAGAAGGGTAGAGTCTGGGAGATGCCAGCCTGCCACCCAAGGAGCAATAAGATGCCAGCAGACTGATAACACCATGGCCATGTGGCAACATATAGATTAATAGAAATGGGTTGAGTTAAGTTATGAGAGCTCGCTAACAAGAAGCCTGACTCAAAGGCCATACAGTTTGTTTAAAAAAAAGTAACAATACCAGGAAGGAAGAAATGCAGGTATTTAGCATTGTTGTCTACACAATTGTTCCTTGCAGGTTTCTATACATTGGATGGAAAGAAACTGTAGAAGCTTTCCCACCTAATCTGAATGTGACAGGTAGTCAGTCTATATAATTTATGTCCCAGATGGATATTTTGGGGACCAAATGTTCCAATCTGAATTGTTGTAGAGGATGAGCATGTGGCTTTGAAACAATCTCCTTCAGTATGTGCTATATAGCCTTAGTTGGGGTGGTGGAAAGTGACAGTACTACAGCTCTAGATAAAATTAAGGGAATAATAAAACATTAATTTATAGCTAGTTCAACTTGAAAACCAGGTGCATCTACTAGCCATGTTGGGAATGATGACGAAACACCAAATGGCTTCTTTTAATGATGTGACAGTATGCAAAGCCCTCTGTTTTAATAGCCTTCCTAAGATATTTCATTTTACATGGTAGTTTCAATTTTATAGCTTGTCATGAAATATATTTCTGTAATGTGCTTTTCAATTAAAAGGTACAACTTCAAAATTATCTGGTGTTCAACTATTAGTATATATGACAGCCTGGGGAATAAAACACACACCAAGCAGAGAGTACAAGAGAATATTTTAAAAATTCATACTTTTGAGGCTCACACTGTGATCTCAGATGTGAGTTAATTAATTAAGGTAGTATCACCTTAAATTATAAAGACAATATATCACTGGAATTTTATTTGGAGTAGTCTTTAGTACAGAATGTGTACTTTTCTTCTATCTGGTTTATATGTCACTGAATTTAAACTAGTTTCTCTTTAAATATGACTCACGTGTCAAGCATTATAGAAAGTCTTTTAATTACTGAGTATAAGTTTCAAGTATAATAAATAATTATCACCCATTTGTACAATAAAATATTAATGTTATCCTTGACTATAATTATGTTATTCTAAGGATGTAACATTCTAAAATAATGTAACTAATATTAAGGATGTTTCAATTATCTAAACTAATCTTCAAACTTGGAGATGTATACAAAATAAATACTAAAAAATATAATTTCCCATGGCTTATAAATCAATAAATAAGAGAAGTTATCCAGCAAGAAAGTATATGACACCCTCTGCAGCAAACATCCAAACAAAAAAGGAAATCAATTTTGTAATTACACTTATGTAAGTGAATATAGTTCAGCTTTTTATTTTTTAATATTTTAATATCTTGGATTGTATCTTATTAGTGTCTCTGCCTCTACAGTATGGCAAGGCTTCTGTCCCTTCTCTGTTGGCATTCTTAGGAGGCTCTGATTAACAGTAAGCCATGCAGGTGTTAGCATTGAGATGGGGTCCCACCACAGACTCCAGCCATATGCTGCTGGTCACACAGACAGGCATGACACAGGGTGAGCAGACTGCTATGTAGTCAGAGTTTGGGGAGAATGCATGATGAATTCATTTTCCATTTGATATAGTTATCACTAAATACATTTTTATATAATAAAAATTGAAGGGCATCAAAAGTAAAAGAGATAGTAGGAAAAGAAAGCACATGAAATGGTATCAAGTTCAAGCCTGTAGAACTGAAAGTCCTCATTTCTCCACAAACTTGATTGCTTGAGGCTTAGAAGTCAGACAGAAGAGCTAAGTTCCTTATGACATGCTTTCATTGTTTCCCAGAGAACTGCTCTTTCTCATCTGTCAAGAAATTTGCACTAGTAAAGTAAGTCTTTTGGGTTAGAGAAGAAAGATGGTGCTGTGTGCTCCTTGGAAAGACATAAGCCTATCCCTTGTAAGTATGGAATGGTGAGAATAAACTGAACAGTTTGGCCAAATAATACCTTAGAAGTGATGACATGGGATGGAAACTCTAGTAGATGACAAGGACAAAAGTCTATTTATAATTTTTACAGCTTAATGCTTTAGGGGTAAAAGACACAGGTATGTCTAATATTTAAATGTCCAACATTTAATATGGTGGCATGAAATGCACTGTGTTTAGCATCATGTATTACTTCAGCACATGCAGAAGCCAGGATATTGTATAAAAAGGATCCTACATATACAAAATTCATTAGAAGATATAAGCCTCATAGTTACTGTGAAAGCTCTAAGCAATACCCCCATATTCTTGGCTGGCTCTGCACATAGAGGTGTGGATCTCATCTACAATGCACTGTCCACAGGGCATTCTAACTCAGTTATAGTAATTTCAGAGACTTTGTAAGCATACATAAGAGTTTTTCTAATTATTTCTATATCATATTATTCGCACTTCTTAATTTTTAACTTGACTATGGTGCTTCTAAAATGTTTCTTCAACACATTGTTAAGAATAAAGATAAAAGAGCTGGGCATGGTGGTACACACCTTTAATCCCAGCACTAGGGAGGCAGAAGCAGGTGGATCTCTCTGAGTTTGAGGCCAGCCTGGTCTACAAAGAGAGTTCCAGGACAGCCAGGACTGTTACAAAGAGAAACCCTGTCTTAAAAAATAAAATAAATGAAATAAAACAAAAACAAAACCCAAGAATAAAGATAAATATACATTTAAGGCTGGGGATATGGGTACAGTGCTCACCTGACAAGCAGGGGGACTCAAATTTGATGCCTAGAACTTGCATAAAAAGCTGGACGAGGTAGATAATGGGAAGGCCTGGAGAGGCCTACCAGCATAACCTACTTAGTGAGCTCCAGGGCAGTAACAGACCATGCTTCAGAGAGAAAAAAGTGGTGGGAACGACACCCAAGACCTCCGCATTGTACACAAGTGCCTCCAACATACACAGACTACATATGGACACACACATGCATACACAGAGATGAATTACATACCCCCTAGATTCACTTCACATAGAGATAAAGTTGTAGTAATTAGTTTTTAAACAATTATTTCTAAGTTATATTCAGTTTGAGTTCCAAAAAATGTATAATAAAACTTTTTTTTATCAGTTTACTAACTTATAATATTTTATATTCTAAATAATTCCAGACAAACACCTGTAAGGAGAGTCCCAGTACTAATTCATGATTCATTATCTGAACTTTAATTGGCACGAATCTTGAAATTCTGGGACCATATGGAAAATAATGAGTCCTAATAGGTCTAAGGTGAAAAGATGGCAGGGGAGGAAGGAGCCAGAAAAGTGTCATTTCTGAATGCTTAGCAACCACAGGACAGCCTCCCCAGAGACCCTGATCACTGAGCTGTCAGCTTTTCAGTGCTCTTGCTATCATGTACTCAACTATAAATTATTTCTAATTCTGTGAGGCAAAGATTAAGATGAAAAAACATAAACAACTGAAAAATTGGCTTCCATAATTAAACATGAAATTGGCTGTTAATAATAAAAAATCCAGAAATTTTGAGTTACCATAACAACCCGATGGAACTGTTGACTGACATAGCAATCTGCTGCATTTTTAAAAATAGCAATTGATTCCCACTCTTTCATTCCAACTTGTTTTAATGCTTATTGGCACGAATGGGACACTGTGCTTCAAGCCTATTTTACTTATCAAGCCGCGTACCTCTTCACTGCTGTCAGTGCCATAAAAATCGTCTTCCAAATGGGTGTCTCTCCTTGTCACACTGTTGTCCTCTCTTGGGTCCAGAATAAATGGATACTCCTTTGGGGACATATCATGACTCTTCCCATGAGGTGCTGATCTTGGTCTAGATGAAAAGGTGAAAACGTCCTTGGGAGCCACCTGGGTTTCCTCTGCTTGGTCAGGTTCATGGTCCTTGCTGGTTTCTAGCCGAAGGTGTGAAGCAATGCATGAGTCCCCATCTAGGAGCAATGACAGACTGCCACATGCTGGGTCAGAAGTCAGAGCAGCACTTTCGGGAAATATCCACTCATCTGACATGGGGGAAAGATGATAACAGTAAGAGTTTTGTTACATTGTTCGTTTAGGTGGTTAGGATAACATTTCTTTCAAAACAGAGGTATTTCAAATAAGGAGAAGCCAGGGGAGGCATTTTCTCTATCATCTTGTGTCTTGCTAAACAGTTACTCACAGAACAGTGCCCACAGCCACAGGCAACTCATTTACACTTTTTCTCCATTTGAGTTGAAACCCTGGCCAGGAAATTTTTAAGTCTGAAATAATTATCACCTGTCTTGCAGCAAGTTCTTTATAGCACAACCTCATTAATTTGACATCCAGTGAGGGAAGTTGTCCAAATTTAAAAGGATTTGAGTTACTAATACCTTCCTTTTTACTGCAGGAAGACAGGACAATATGTAATAAACTTTTTAAAACAGACCATCTGGTCATTGTGTGGGTTATGAATCAAGGAAACCATGGAAGGATGATGGACAGTCTATTTCTCGGCCTCTTGCTGATTGAAATAATTCACAGACTAAACTGAGCAGACATTGCAAGCAACTCTAAATCCACAGAAATACTGTTAATCTGAGTGGTGGCTTCTGAAGGTTGAAATACAATTTTATATTTAATTTTAGAAGTTTTGATGTAATTTTTTATTATTTGTTTTCTTTAAAAATTCTGCATATTACTAATGAGAGAAATTTTTATCAAATGTATATTTCCATCTTTTATACCACACTGAAGTAGGTTTTATAACTATGATCTAGGCAATGTGAGAGGACAATGTTTATAGGAAATGCAGTTAAAAGCAGTCTTTGATTCCTTTCTTTAGGAAGACTGCAGGAGAGAGTCCTTTTCTTTGAATGCACTTTTTCTCCCTGAATTGTTTCAGTGTGGGGCCTTGCACCTGTTCTGCACAGCCCATATGTGGATGGAGTAATTTATGCTGGACCCTTAATCTATTACAGCTACGACCACAAGGAAAGTAACTGCAGGACATGTAAGATTTGCCAAGTACAAAGCCTACACCGTGAACATGTGACCCAGAGACCTCTTCCAAAATGACACTGATGGCCCAAATGGAAAGTGTTCAAGACTGTACTCATGAGTCATTCACCACGGACTTGCTACACAAAATGACTGGGAGGTAAAGGGGCTGATGAAATATGGTAGAGCAGGACTTGTATTTTCCGGTCCATGGCCAGAGCAGCCTGAAGCTACTTTATCTCACGCCTGCCCAGTAGTACAGGTGGTCTGAGTCAGTGTGGGCAGCTGAAATGAACAAGTTGACTGGACGCTCCTATTTGGGGCAGCAAACCCTTCTGCATGGGGCTTGGCAAATAGTGGGACTTTGTAAACCTAGTGTTACTCTGAAACAGTGTCTTCAACCCTGGGCTGCATAAATTACTTTGGATTTGCAAAAATTTTGGTTAATAGTAAAAAGATTTTGAAAAGGCAAAAGTCACAAACTAATTAAAAATATAACACACAATGAATCCCAGGTGTGTTTGCTGGTACTCACCCATGTTGCACGGTGTGACTTTATTGCAGTCCAATGCTGAAGACATATATACTACATGTGCTGCACACACCATCACACCATAGTGACACCACAATTCAAACAAATATTGTCTGAAACACCTGGATTCGAGACTGCTGTAAACTGTAGTGTTTTTACCAGGCATACCAAGTTTTCTGGGTTTTTGTTTGTTTGTTTGTTTTTTAGAGACAGGTCTTCTCTGTGTAGCCCTGGCTGTCCTAGAACTAGGTCTGTAGACCAGGCTGGCCTTGAACTCACAGAGATCTGCCTGCCTCTGCCTCTTGAGTGTTGGGATTAGAGGTTTGAACCATCACTGCCCAGCTAGTTTTCTGTTCTTATAGACAAATGATAGCCTAATCATGTAAATAGAGATTTCAATTTTCTACTGTCATTCCTCAGCATAGTATTAGGTTCGTATTTTTTTGGATTGTATTGTGTTAAAGCTTTTTTTCCCCCTCCCTTTATTTCTTTTATTTTTTAATTATTTTTTGAGATAAGGTTTCTCTGTGTAGCCCTGACTGTCCTGGAATTCACTCTGTAGACCAGGCTGGCCTTGACCTCACAGAGATCCACCTACCTCTGCTTCAAGTGCTGGGATTAAAGGTGTGCACTGCCTTCCCCCTAGTTCCCCTCCCCACTTTTTAAAAAAAGATAGAGTCTCTCTACATGGCCTGGAACTCACTGTGTAGACCAGGTTGAACTCTATCACACAGAGATCCACCTACTTCTGACTCTGGAGGGCTAGTAATTCTACAAACATGTGTAAAAAATTACTGTTTGAGTTGCTGACTTGAGTTTAACAATAACAACAACAACAACAACAACAACAACAACAACAACAACAACAACAAATCACTGAATGAAATGTGACTCAGGATTGAGACAGAGTTTCCAGTAATTTATGAAACAGCTCTTTCATGCTGTTAGCTGTGACCATGCCATTTGTAAAGGGCATCCATTGTGGTTAAACCACAATTCCCAGAACTAAAATAACTTGGTTCCAACTTGGTTTTTAGATTCTTGTTTCCCAGACCTACTGATCCCAGAAACAACTGACCGTAAGAGATGTCTGTTAGTGGCTTGGCATTCCTCGTCCTACTGGACACCCTACCTCCCAGCTACCAGCAGCAGTGGCTAACTGCAGGCTAAGAAAGGAAACACTTCAGTCTCCTTCTCCTTTCCTTGATCTGCCCTGTAACCACCCACCCTGTAGTCAGGATCTGAGTCTTTCACTAGGGACCCCTTTGCAGGTTTTCTCCCAAATAAGGACCATGTTGTCCTAAATATGGTTAGCCCTTTGTCTGTTCTCCTTATACACATCATGTATTTATGTGAAGTAGCACTTTCAGCATTGACAATTATAAATACAAAATATCAATAAGCTCTGAAAAATGCTGATGACAATCCATGTCTTAAAATATATATTTGACCACCATCCATCTCATTAGTATTTTAATTTCCTTTCCAATTTAGTAAATGGTAAAATTATACATACACTTATATCTATATATTGAACAATGATTGGAAAATAAATTTCTTCTAAAATTTTATTATCACAGATGTTTGATTTGTATGCCCGTTCTATATACATATACACCTGGTGTTTTATAAAACGTTCATGGGCAAGCCTAAAGGCTGAAAGTGGTTATAAAAGCCAATGTGTTATTTTATGTACATGCATGTGTAAAGCAGGGGAACAGAAAGGATTCTTGGAATCTTCACTATTCAGTTAGACAATTTCTTATGACCTATTTGCCAAACATTATTAACTGCCAAAAAGTCAAAGTAGAGGGTGTTTTATACCACGGTATACTAAATACCTCATTGCCACCAGCTTTCTGGAGATCTGTACTTTTACCTCAAGTATTTCCATATCAATTGTAATGAATAATTTGGTGTGTTTTCTTAGAGAAATATGTAAATTACCGTGTAATCACAATATTGCAGCAAACAAGATAAATGCAAGAATGATCACCTAAACATCTAATTAGTTTTTCTACACAGTCAGATTTAGGGTAGAGACACTAATTGCACCTAACATTTTAATGAAGGTTTCAACACTGCATAAATAAGACTGACAAACTACAAACAATTTTCATTTATTTTCCTTTTTCCCTTGCTCAAAAACAATTTGCCTTTGTAAAAGTAGCAAACACCTGCTAGGCAAGATATGCTGATGGGCTCAGTGATCTCCATTGATGAAGAGGATGGGAAATACAACCATAGACGATGGGCTTGTGGAAGGGCTCGGAGTTAGGGCAAAGCGTTCAAGTTTTAAAGTTTACTTTTGAATGGGAGAACTGGGGTATAATTAAAGGTAAAAAGGGAGATTTACAAACTATGATAAATTTCAGCAAATGATTGTATCATCATTTTTTTAAATGACTGAGTTTGAAATATTTGGGTTACAGGAGCTTAAATCAAGAGCTCTGTGGAGACTAATTAGGGAAAGCTATTTCTCTGGCCTGGTTGGAGGCCTGGCATTCTAAGCTACCCATAATACAAAAGTTATGCATGGGCAGGTCACTCATCTGGCTAAGGGATCAATTCTCAGGAAAGAAGGACCACACACCCCTACGGAGATGAGTCTACCTTAAACCACGATAAAGAGGTGGAATAATTAACCATTTAAGGAGGTACTGTACTTTTCCTTCCCAGAATTCCTACTCCCTAACACTACAAGGCTGCTTGTCTACCACTTAGCTGACCTCCATGGTGGCATAACTCAAACATCAAGGCTTTTTTCCTTCTCTTTTTTATTCCTCTCCACAGAGAAGCTGCTGAGAGTTTGTCTGCCTGGGGTTTTTCTTTCAAACTCTAATAAAACTGTTTCCAACTTTCCACTTGAGCCCATTCTCAAATTCTTTTATTAACAAAAACTATGAACCTCAACAGGGGAACCAAACTTTCCTGGGAACAGGTGACAACAGTGGTAGGACTCCCCAACATTTCCAGTAACACTTTGTGAATACTAAGGATGCTAACCTGGTTGGTCAGGAGCCTGGGGTTCTGGAGTACTGGAACTTACTGGCTCTGTCCTTGGCTGAACGATGCTGTTGAGGGTGATGGCCACTTCCTCTTCATTCCTGTTATTTTCCCAGGAACTACCTTTATTGGAAGAGGTATTTCCACTGCATTATTCTATTGATGTTTGTAGAAAGTTGTTTTTGAAGGGTGATATTAATTTTGTGTATTTTTATTTAATTATTTAAAAGCAAATGAGAGGTATTATTATGGTTCATGTGCATTTTCTTAAAATAGTTGAATGTTTTAAGATGAATTTTGTTGGGTTTTGTAGAGCTTTACCTTAAAATGCTTTGATATTTGCACAAGGACATTTTAGATTTAAATTTTACAGCATGTAATAAAAAGAATTCACAAACACATGATTTTAAAGGCATCTTATATTTTTATAAAAAAATTAAATTGTAATTCTTTTAAAACAAGCTCTTTCCTTCATCCCCCTCAGAAAATGGATGTGGGTGTTATCATGGAAGTAGTTTTTCTACCTGCCCTTGATAATAACAACGCAAGACCTGGAAGACTGAATCTTAACATTTTGGGAAATTGTGCTAACAATCTATTCCTGATGCCCTTGGGCTGGATTCAAGATAGATGAATATATACATTGAAAAATCTACATAAACATGCCTCAAGTCCCATCTTTAAAGGGATAGCCACTATAGCCTCTTACATTTACCTAATGCTTAAGTATGGAAGTGTTTGTATTTGAAACTGCATCATATCATCTGCAAAGACTCCCAAGGGAGACACAGCAGTGTAACCTGAGTTCTGAAAGAGCCTGCTTTAAAAGAAAAGACATAAATTAAATCTGAAAATGAGAATAAAGTTCAATTTGGGGAGAGATTCAGGGAGGAATTTCCTCTATCACATTTAGGTCCCTTTCAGGGATAACAGCAGTAGTAATTTAAGCTTTCTTCAGCCCTGTAAAGGGAGGCAGCCCGGCACTTCTGCACTCCTGTCTACTGAGTCCAGCCTGTCTCTGGCAGGGCAGACTCTAGAGCAATACTTTTGCAGAAAATTTGATTTCCATAATCCCCACAGAACAGACATTTATATTTTAAATGAATTGGCTCATAATCCTTTGAAATTTACAACCTGCAGAGAGATCCCACTGCCCTGAATATACACAGTTCTGAGACAGCATTGGAGAGTGTCATACCACAGTGTGCCTCTGTGTTTTCTCCGCTGGTGCTTTTCAAGCAAGCTCTCCTGTTGTTGCTCTGACCTGCTGATGCTGTTGAGAGGGATCAGAATAGGTAGACGGGTTGGTAAATTTCCATACCAGAGAACAAAAGCCAGAATAGAAAGTACTATATTCATTCAAATAATACAGTAAATATATTTATCACTATAATGAGAATATTCATGTATCATTTTGACATAATTTGAGGCTATATAAAAGACACAACTTAGTCCTTTACAAAAATAGGTGTTAATTCGTATTTCAACATCAGAATTTCTATATGAGTAATGAATTTCATCCAAAGAATAGAGGGATACATGAAGTGTGATTGATGTTATTTATACAACATGCTATATTAAAAAGTATAAAAAAATGAAGTTGACAGAAAATCCTTTTCCTGTAGAGAGGAAGTGTAGCAGAATAAGGAGTTTTCTAAAGATGTCTGGTGAGCTGAGATCAAACCTGGAGAAGAATTCTGAAGTATAATTTGATATTTAAATAATAATCAGAGTAGCAGCTAATATTCACTAAATACTTCATTTCTTAGAGCAGTATCATACACTCAACTGGTTTTTGTCATTGGCTCCTTACAACAACCTCTTGAGGCACCTCCCATTGGCGCAATGCCTGACTTGTTTTATAGATAAAGAAACTAAGGTTCCAAGAGTAACACTGTGAAATGGCAGGAGAGGCCTTGGCAGGTTTGTACCAAGGTGCCCCGCAGAGGGTGAGACATGTCTTGTGGGCAAGATGGGTGGCGATGTGGCAGAAAGTCACTCACATGGCAGAAACGGCATCCACGTGGAAAGGAGAGAGGAAGGGGGGTGGAGGAGGAGAGGGGGAGAGAGACAGAGAGGGGGGAGGGGAGGAGGGGGGAGGAGGTGGGGGGAGGGGGGAGGTAGAGTGCAAAGCTGAGAGGTTTTTCTTAGAGGGACTTTATATAAGATGACCTCAGGACTCTGGGCGGGCCCCCAAGGGGCGGGTCAGAATACTAACACCAATGGTGAAGATCTTGGAACCAGGTACCAGGCTACAGAGACAGTCACTGGTGGAACCGGGACTACATGTCTATGCTACTCATTTTCTCACGCCATTTGCTATCCCCAGTGGATGAGATTGTCCATAGTGGTCATCATTCACTTCTAACTCAAGTAAAATTAATTCTCCCTTTCCTTATTCACTGAAGTCAGACCAAGAAGGGCAGAAAGTTATAAAACAACTCAAAGTCAGGTTCTGGTCTCCATTTTTCAAATAAATACAAGTTACAAATCACTTTACTCCTCTCCTAGACTTGCGCTATCTGAAATGAGACAAAAGTCTTCCTACAGAGCTGTCTTTTTATATCAATGACAGAAAATAAAGAGCACAGGAAATAAAGTTTCTGCAAACAGAAACTGAAATGATAGTAAGAAAACAAAGTAAACATGGAGTTTCCAAAATATAATGATAATCTGATGCTATTTTACTTTGGCATCTTTATCAGAAAGCAAAACCAGGACACTGGCTATTTGGAATACCAGAATAAACAACAGAACAGAGAAGACAAAATAATTTCAATACTCACCACCCACTTCAGTATTAAACGGCCCTTTTCTGGATTTAGTCCTGTCTTGAATACTGCTTGATTATCTCAGTAAGAACAACTCTCACTATTTTCCACTGGCTCTTCCTTTCTATATGACTCTTGCTTACCTGGAATAGGCACTGTCTGCTTCACTTGATGTATATTTCCTTTCTCTCCTTGCTGCCTAGGCTCAGGGATCAGCAAGGCTGACCCTTGTGCAGTGTTAACATGCTTCTCTGCTGTAGGCTGTTGGCACAACTGGCTATTTTTGTACCCAATGGATCTTACTGTCTGTAAGGAAAAGGAATTAATATGTATGTTAAAAATAAGGAATTACATTTAATTTCTATAAAATCTATATAGGAAAAAACTCAGGCAAATAAGTGAGCAAAAACCAGAGTAACTTCAGCTAAAACGTGAGAGGAAGAGAAATTAGAGAAGACTGAAATGGAAGGAGAAGCATAACCTGAGATGGAACAGCAGATGAGAAGACCTCCTAGACAAAACATTAAATGTACTATGAGTGACACCTGCCTGCAACAGACAGAGATGAGTGAGAAACATCCTGCATGTCAGAGACCTGAAGGAAGTGAAAACCAAAAGCAGACCATTTGAGAATGTGTGCATTGTATGGGTGCTGGTCTATATCCAACACTTCTTTTGACAGAGAAGGCAAAATATGTTCATATATATTTGCTTGTAAGCAACATGTTTAATGAAAAGACTACTCAAAAACTTTAATTATGTTGATATGACAGAAAAGAAACAATTTTCTAGTCTTTTAAGATCCAAAATTCCTGTTGCAAATTTACGTAAACCTACTTTGGGCACACACACAGTCAGCTTTTCTCTCCTTCCTTCCCACAGCCCACACATTACCACCCCCTGCCCTTGCCTGAGTGAGCTCTTCAAACATTTCACCCACCTCACTGGAGAGCCTCAGGTTATTACGTCTGCCAGAGAGTGGAGGTGGTCCGAGGACCCTGGACCCGAAGGCAATATGGCAAACATCTTGACTTTTACTGTTCCGGATGCTGCCTCCCCCTCTGTTGATGAACTGGTCTGTTTGTTAGAGAAAGTCAATCCATTAATGGGTGAAGTAACAAAGATCATGTTACAATACTTCTCAGTACAGTTTAGATGTCACAGGATTGGAATTAACACCTATTCAAAATGAAAATAGTGTGTCAGATGCACAGAATCCATAGGATGTTTCTGATAAAGCAAGAGAACAAAGGATCATAAGGGAGGTTTAGCAGCTGAGAAGTAGCTGGCACTCCTTATATTATACTTCCCAAACTTATTTATGCAGCCCTGGTATTCTCTTAAAATAATTTTATTTAAATTATTTCCCTAAAAGGAAAAATATTTTTATTATCTTAAAAAAATGTGTACATAGTACTTCTCAAATAATGGTGAGTATACAATCACCCTAGGTTCTCTTGTGACTGTTCCAGTGTTCACACCATCCTTTCTCCAAAATGCCGCCAGAGGTCTTACAGGAAGGGAAGTGTACTGTCTGCTTTGTGTTACTTCACTCTGGCTGCTTAATGGCTTCCCAACTGCTCTTAGCCCTGATCACTTGTAAACACTGCCTTGACATTCCCTTCTATCTCACACCTTTGTTTGCTGTTCTCTTCACACTCTGGTGCTCCCAATTCTTCCCAAGGCACTGCTGCGCATCATCCCTAGGGTGACCTTTGTCTTTATGTCTTAGTCTTCACTTCTTCAGTCATGTCTCTGGGTCTTCCTCATGGGGATAATTTCCCTCACCAAAGAACTTGCTGGAAGTTCACCTTTCCACATCTCTATACTATTCCCCGTAGTCTGTGCTCCAGTAGATGCAAAGTCAGTGATGGCCTGCTTTTGACATCTTGACATAGAGTGGGCATCTAATATATTTTTGCTAAGGAAAATGAATTCATCACACTGAGTACAAAGGGAAGCTGGATTGAAAAACTCAGATAGTTCTAATTATGATTAGAATTAAAAATAAAAAGACCCACCTGGTGTTTTATGTGCAAATCAAGGAGGAGGATGTGAAGGTTAACACTTGGCCTGAGTGGTGAGGCCCTGAAAGCAGGGCTTTCAGGACAATCTCATGCCTGTTGGGTGATATGCAAAACTTCCTACTATCAAATAGACATTATATGTGTGCATCTGTATTTTTCTATTCACTTATAAATATCCATTTGAATCAACAGAACATAGCCAGTTTCTCAGGTTGAAAAGAGAAAAAAAAACTATACTCAAATTCTATGCTACTTGTAAAATCCATTACAGATACCACTTGTATTTTTGATGATCAAGTAGAACACATTCTAGATGAATTATTGTCTCTTAGTGCTGGTTTCCCCGAAGTGGCAGTTGCAGTGTATGGAGAGGCTCTGTGGGATATAGTGTGGGCATATGGAGGATCTGTACCCTTATTTGCGGCCCTTCCCTGCCCTGAGAACTGTCCAGTTAGAAGTTCATCTAAATTCAGTTTCCTTCCAACTAGTTCAAGTTCTTTTGTGTGAAAGACCATTTATTTTGTATTCTGTGTGCCTGCCTCCCAAGCCTAGTTTGGTAAACAGGAGACAATGACTTAATTTCACCAAAATTACGGATGCAATACAAGAGTGGAACAAGGATTGGGGGTGGGGAGTTTAGCAATCACACTGACAAAGTTCCAGCCTAATATAAAAAAAGAACATAGTTGATAAACTATGTACACTTATACTTTGAACTTTTTCATTTAAATTTATTTTTTTGAGAATTTTATATGTGAGTACTATATTTATATTATTTTCATACCTCCTTCCTTCTCCAACTCCTACCATGGCTCACACCCACTTCCATTCAAATTCATGATTTCTTCAATTATTGTTACATATATCCACACATACATATATAACATGCACACATACACAGGTATACATGCATACACATACAAAACCTACTGCGTCTATTTAGTATGGCATGTGTTTAGGGCTGATACTTGGGATTAGATAACTCACCAGGGAGCTTGACCATGTAAAAAACTGATTTTCCCTCTCAGCAGTCACCGACTGCCTGTAGCTCTTTATCTAGGGATGGGACCTAGTGAAACATCCCCCATCCACAATGGCATGTCATTGGTTGTTGCCACTATGCAGGTCTTTTCTATGCAACCATATGGTTGAAAATTCCTTGGTGTAGCCTCCTCACAATATCTAGAAGACATTGTCTAACAGCAAGGCAACCTGGTCCTGTGGCTCTTGCAACACCTCGCCTCACACAATGTTTCCTGAGTCTTAGTTAGGTGTAGGGGATGTGTTACATACAGATTGATCAGTTTGGGCTAGCACCTCATGGTCATTCATTCTCTGCATCTTCACCCAGCTGTGGGTCTCTAATAGTCTCTACCTGCTACAAAAATAAGCTTCTTTGATGATGAATGAGAGACACACTTATCTCTTGGTATAAGGATAAGTATTATTAGAATACAACTTGGAAATTTAATTAGTTTAGGCAAATGGCAGTAGTACTTCTTCTCTAGGTGGCTGGCTAGGTTTACAGTACCAGGCATGAATTCACTCCTATTGAATGAACCTTAAATGCAGTTAGAAAGCTGTAGGTTATCCCTAAAGTATCTACTACTACTTTACTGTTGGGGATATCTTGCCAGGCTAATCATTATGATTCGTAGCACTATTGGTTACTTTTCTCTATGGAAAGCTTTCACAGCACCTTCCAATACCATGAGACCTAGTCATCAGGGAGGAAGCTTTCAAGTGAGTTCTAGCTTGAATCCTCCAAGTTCTGTATCTGAAATGACTGTGGTGTTTTCAGTAAGAAGCCTCTACCTTCGCTTTCTAGGAGGCAATCTAGGGCAATGGCAATAGATCATATTGTTCTGGGGTCTCTTGGACTCTCCTGTAACTGATGACTCGAAAGAAGGTTTCTCATGCCTGGTACTTGGTATTTTGTTAAGACAGTCTCTGGCTCATGTTTCGAGTATTATCACCTCAAGTGGTGCAACTTCATTTAAACTCTACACACACACACACACACACACACACACACACACACACACACACACTGTTTTAAAGTATGCTTTTAAAATAATGTTCCTTAGTGGCTTTTTCAAATATCATTAGTGTTACCATCTCTCCTCCCTTCCTCTCCCTTTTATATTAACATCCCTTCCTGTTCCTAGTTAAAGTGACGCTCCCCGCTCCGACTTCCCATTTACTTCTTGAGAGCACTGTGTTCTTAAAGGAGTATTTCACTCAGTGATGAACATGTAGTGATTATTAAAGATACAGCTAAAACTGAAATGCTGTCATCTTAAATCTCAGAAATGTAGTGTTATGGGTAGTCCACCAGAGATGACCACTCAGACACAGTTTACAGCCTATTGAAAGTTTTTATTCCAGCTGGCTGGGATCACACCCAAGTGTGTGTGTGTGGGTATCTAGGTGTGGCCCTGAGTATTCAGAACATGGGACTTTTAAAGGCAGAAACCATGTCCTGGCATCTCAATTGGCAGCTGCAGGGGGGGCTTCACAGAAGTAAGCAGTTTGAAGCAAGCAGTTTTAACAGAAGCTAAGACAAGCAGTTATCTGGAGGGGGTTCTGTACAAACAGGCAGTTTAACGTAAGCTGAGACAAGTTAACAAGGGCATCCTGACCTTGGGTCATTTCCCATGGGGTTCTCCATCAAGGAGATCAGAATCTAGTTAAACCTGGAATGACCTCAGCAAGAATACAAGATGGAGGAACCTCTGCACTGTCTTGCCCTGTTATACTAGATAATATTCCGGATCTTAGAAGATCTATTGTAAAGCTTCATTATAGAATAATCCACCACAGTGTATTTAAATTTAAGTCTACTTAAAAAAAACATTTTTGGTTATAAAGAGTACAAATACCCTATTATTTAAAGATATCTTTAAGCTTGATACCACAATGAACATACCAGTTTTGTAAATCCTTTTTGTCCTAATAATTCACTGATTAGAATTATATTAACTGTCAAAGAAATTCTCCTTCAATGTGCAGTATGTTCCACATTTGTTAGGATAGGTTCCTAATTAAAACCTACAAGGCAAAGTAATTTAGGTTTTCAGTTTCTAAAATAAAAAGTAGAAGGGACAAAGTTTCATTTACAAGAAAAATCTTAATAGAAGGAAACCATAAGCAGAAATGCATGTGCTTTGAATTTTAGATTAGCTATTTAAAAAGCTGATATCAATCTGCATAAAGTGAGGTTAAATATCAAGATTAGATTAAAATCATGCTTGAGGCATTTCATTTTTTTGAGTTTGTGGAAAGTGAACTTCGTGTAAGTCAGGGATTAACCATTAATTATTTTGCTATTTTACTGAGGGGTGCATGCCTTTGTAGTTAGATTGTAAAACCTGAGGGTGTACTCTCTAATTTTCTTTTAGAGAAAATAAACTCTCATTTTTTTTGTCTCAAAATACAATGATCTAATTATTATAGTCATTTAAGCTTGCAAGATTTTCAAAGCTTAACCACACAGACCTATTACAGTTCAGCTCTCAGCACTGAGAGGCAGGCCTAACACTTTCATCCACCATTTCACAGTCAACTCAGAGTGAAACTTGAAACCAGAGACCAGATTTTGGGTTAATTTTTATTTTAGCACATTATGTTGTTCTATAGTAGGTACAAAACATGAGCAAATATTGATTCTAGTATGGTAATATTGTTTTGGAGAAGGCATCTGACCTTTCTAAGCCTTATTTCTTCATTCACAACATTGGGATAACAATGTACTTAAGTCATGGCATTTTCTGTTAAGATTATATGAAACTAGACATACTTCATGTTGTGTCTTAGAGGGAGTAGATGCTTATTAAATAGATTGCTAGTACCTTCCATCTTGAATAGTATTCAAAGCTTACAAGATCTATTAATTATCATTTATTCCTTTCTTCATTCATTCTTTAGTAGTGACTAGGTGCTTACCCTGGTTGGCATTGAGTGAGACAAGGAATAAGATGGAACACTACCTTATTCAATGAGTTTACAGTCTCATGGGGGAGGTGGATGTTAAAATAAGAAATTAATAAA